CCACATGGTCAGGCACAGCAACCTCTCTGGGCATGTTGATCACAGTGGTTCTGACAGAGGTTGAGCCGTGGGATGCCCCCAGCTCAGCCACTTCATATTCTTCCTTGATTCGTTCGTAGTTTGGGGGCTGCCCCCCATTGGCAGCCGTCAGGAAGGCTTGAGAAGTATGGTTCATGGTGCAGAGCAGAACCAGCAGTGAGGGACGAAGGATGAAGAGCTCTGTGGGTCTGCCCTTTCTCCAGCAGTTTCGGTTTCTCAGAAGTTTCCTTTTCCTGAATTTTGGCTTAATGAGAATTGGCTGAGTCCTGAGGGGCGTGGATCTAAAAGTCCTGTGGATCAAATTACTCCAGGGCTGGATGTCAGGAGGGATTGTGAATCAGGGGAGCTTCCTGTCCAGGAACCCAAGTCAGGACTTGTCCCAGGGCCTAAACTTCACTGTTTATGAGTGAGGGGGTCCTGGAGTCTTCTAAGCTCAGGCTAACAGCTGCAGAACCTCACTGGCCTGACAAAGGTCCCAGCGAGGCCCCACATAGCCCTCCCCTCTCCCAGCAATAAAGGGTGCCCACCGACCCCACCATACCCACTATGGAGGCCAGTTCTACTGACTTTGCTGCAGGTAGAGGTTGGGATGAACTGTACTGGTCTGTGTCTCCTTTTACTAAGACCTAGTGCCCTAAGTGTGGTCAGTACTGGACTTTGGTGTTAGGACTGAATGATCCCAGGTCACATGGCTATGACCTCATGGTCCAGGGCTAGCATATTTGTGCTACTCCAACTCCCTTTTGCTCCATCCCGATCACAATGTATTAGTGCTAGTGGAATGGTCACTAAGGACTTTCACTGTGCCAGAAAAGCCCTCTCAAGTACATGGTGGGGTAAGGGCTACGGCACCAAAAGCCACTCGGGATCATGCTGAAGGGTTTCAGTTTCTACCCTTCCCTCACAGAAGGGAGGCCTGGCCTGGCCTCTGCTGTTAGGAGTTGTACCCACTTTCTATCTTGGTGGCACTGTGAGGACCAGGCTACCAGACCTGCCTCAGTGTGCCTTGCAGCACCCACCCCTCCTAGAGCTCTGGGTCTTGGGGTTTGTGGCTTCTTCAGTTGCCAGGTTCTAGTCTTATCATTCATTGTCTTCCTTGAGTTCCCCCGCAGGGACACCAGCACCTCCTACAGTCACCCCTTTGCAACCCTGTTAGCTGATGCTGGCTTAATCACCTTCCCTGACAGAGTCCTGCCTGTTAGAACAGGTAGTGTGATATCCATGTGCTCATCTGCTGCTCCTTCACAGAGGCTCCTGCCCTCTCTGCCTTAGGCTAAGTGCCACCAAGTCCAGAATGGGGCTTTGGTCTGGGTGCGGAGACTCGGACTGGAGCCTGAGAGTGCTGGTTCCATTGGATTCTGACATGCTATTCCTTTGTGTCCTGTGGGGAAAAAATTCTCCAACAAGGCCTACTACTCCTCACACATCCATGAGGGGAAAGTTTGAGCTGATGGCCAGCAGTTTACTTTCCTGTTGCCTTTCAGCCTTGTGGGTGTTGAAGTAATATGACTAACCCCTGAGCTTGTAAATGACATCAAGTGTTGTCCTGTGGTCACAACAGTCTGGCTTCAGGAATGTTGGGTTTTGATATAAATTTTTATTTATTTGTTTGTTGGTTGGTTGGTTGATTGATTTTTCGAGACAGGGTTTCATAATGTAGCTTTGAAGCCTGTCCTGGAAATCACTCTGTAGACCAGGCTGTCCTTGAACTCATAGAGATCTACCTGCCTCTGCCTCCAGAGTGCTGATATAAAAGGTGTGCGCCACCACCACCCAGCAGTAAAACTTTTCTTTTATAGTCAGCAATATTTAATTTCAACCATAGCTCTGTTTACTATGGTCTCACACTATTCCTGAAGTCAAACACATTTGCTCCCAGACCCTGTATACGAAGAGCACATACTTCGTGGAGTGCGCCCATCCTATCCTCTTTGTTGGCTGACTATAATGATAAGCACAATGAACGAGATGATGGAGAAGACCACAGCAGCGATGTTCAGTCGCTTGGCAGTTGTAGCATAGTCTTGGGCCCCAGGCACATCACCCACCATCTTCCTGTCCCTGGACTGGAAGAGACCAAATGATCAGTGTGGCCTTGGAGCAAGTCATCTGAGAGCCAGCTTCTCTGCCTCAGTTCCCCCATTGTCTTCCTATCCCCAGCCATGACAGAGACTATACTGAAAGTTAATGGTCATCTCAAACTTTGGGGCCACTTCTCTGCCATCCTCAGTCACTAGGACCCTATTTCCTCTCTCCTGGTGGCTGGGTGAGCTGTGAGGGTATTGCTATATCCAGGCCCTCACATCTATCTCCCTGTTCACAGAGGTGGGGAGTTATACCCAGTCCTGCATGTATGTTCTGTGTCTTCATGCCCCCCCCCCAAGTGGGCTGGATAGAGGCCTCTTCCTGTCTGTCTTGCTCTTTCCCATGTGGCACATTCCTTGAGAAGCCATCCTTGGATTTTTCCATCTTCTTCATTTGGTCCTATGGGCAATCTTTGCTGCCCCAAAGGTCATCAGAGGGACAGGGATTGACAAACACAGCTGGAAGATCAAGGGCCAGGGTCAGCCTTTTGCTCCATCTTGAATGACCCATTTCTGACATGATACACAAATTGTTGACGCTTAATCTGTTAGGTTCTGTCCTAACTCTGCTCACCAGGCATATGTCTAGCCGGTGTCCTTTAGTAGAGATGGAATTGAGAGGCCACGTTTTCTGGTTTCGTGTCCCTGTACATTTCAGACCCACAGCATCCTCTATGTGGAACTCTTCTCTAACTGGACTCCTATTGGTGGGTCTGCAGGAGTCCATTGTCTCCTAACAGAGACCCTTTGTCTTGTAGCCGCCACACAGTTGAGGAAAATGGGTGGGACCAGCAACCCTGCTTAGTATAGGTGGGGGGGGCTGGGGTTCTCAGCTTTCTTCTCAGGAGGAGACATTGCTTTGTTTACTCTCTGGCTTTGGCTAGGGAGCAACTTGGAGTCTCCCCAGCAAGCTGACCACCCTACCCTGTACTACAGGTCACCAACACAATGGGAATTGTTGAGGCCTTTTCCTTGCCAGTGGCCTGGGCTCTGCCTCGTGGTAGTCCCCAAACAACACACAAGACGCTGTATTAATTATGAAGCTGTTGGCCTTGCTTGTTCTGACTTAAGTATTTACTCCATAATTGTTAATCTAAATATTTCTCTTACCAGAGAAAAGGGTCCGGACTTCTTACCCCTATGGCAGCTACATGATGACTCCCTGTGTTTCTCCTTCCCAGAGTCCTCCTCGACTCCTAGTCCCACCTATCTTGCTTCCCTATTGGCCAACAGTGCTTTATTCAACAACCAATAAGAGACAGATTTACAGAATGGCATCTCCCATCAGGGAATTTATAACAACTTCCATTGCTTCTGTTCCAATTATACATTGGTGAGTGGGAAGTGGGCATGGGGACTCTCTGTGGCTGAGCAGCCCTACTGTGGCGTCACTCATGGGTTATAGTAAACACTAGCCATATCCAGCCCCACATGTTCCTCCTGAGACAAGTGGTTAGAATGGTGTTCAGTCTGGAGATCACTGCCTGGCTCCTGTGCCCAACAGTGCCTAACACGTCTGAGGTTTCCATGCCCTTGGGGTAGTTGCCCAAGCATTGCTCATATGCAGCATTAAGAAGGCCTGAAGTGTAACCATAGGGACTATGTTCCTTGTCTTGAAGTCACTACCTTCATTCAGTCATGACCTGGGTCTGAGGTTGAGTACTCTGAAGGCCCAGAGCCATGAGTTTTAGTGGAGATGTCACACTGGGTCCTTCTCAGAAACTCTTTTTCCTTGGCTGGTGCAAACTGAACAGGCTTTAATTTCTCCCTAAGACCTAGTCTGGCTGAGTCACTCACTCTCCTCCAGTATGATAACCGCTCTCCCAGTGGGACCCTCTGTCTTCACTACTATTAGTGTTCCTGTCTTCCTAAGACAAACTCAGCTCCCAGTGAAGGAAGTGATTCGGTTCCAAAGCCCTGGACCTTGGTGAAGAGGGCATCTCTAGCCCTGCTTAGCATCACAAGGTGGTCAGAACCCAGCACTAGAATCCAAGTACCAACACAGAAAGACAGTGCCACCAGGGGCTCCAAAGACTTGTAATCTTTGTTTGTTTGTTGGCTGGTTGATTTTTGGAGACTGGGTTTCTCTGTGTGGCTTTGGATCCTTTCCTGGAACTGGCTCTTGTAGCCCAGGCTGGTCTCAAAAACATAGAGATCTACCTGCTTCTGCCTCCTGAGTGCTGGGATTAAAGGCATGTGCCACCACTGCCTGTCCAAGACTTGTAATCTTGGGGTGCCCAAAATGAGGCACCAAGGGAATCCAGGAAGAGGAGAGGTGAATTTCAAGTACAGACTGATGGTGAAGGGTGCCAAGACTAGTGAAGTCCTGCCCTCCCCGCATCAGATCAGAAGACCCACAGAGTGATAATGTGCTCCGCCATCAGCAGGTGGCGCCTGGCAGTGAACACTTCCTGTCCACCCCCTGACCTGTGAGAAGTGTTTGAGAAGGTAAGGGTCATTGCATCGAGCGGGTGGTGTAAACAGTCTACCCAGAATCCAAGCCAGAGGCCACCACAGAAATCCTGGACACAGTTTGTCTAGGTTGAGGCTTCTTCCTCCTGAAATGGGAGGACCCTGGACAGGCCCTTTATCCCTGGAATGAGGACTCCCTAGCTTCTGGCTTTGCATCCTTCCCGGGTGGTCTGGGTATGTGGAGGCAGAGATAGACAATGCTTAGTTTACTACTTGCCTGTGCCTGCTAAGTAAGAGAGGACCTTTGCGGGATGCTTGTCAGCTGCTGTCTCCAGCAAGAGGCCAGAACCCTTCCGAGCTGCGAGTGCCCTGCCCTATGCCCCCCACAGTTCCTCCTAGACAGGAAGGAAACCAGGGAAACCCTGAGTAAGTGCAGCACAGGACCAGCACAGAGTCACCACACAGTTGCTACCACAAGCGTTTTATTGACCCCAGTGTGAACAGAGGTGTGAGGATAGCAATCACGTGAGGGGCAGTGACAGGTCAGGACCTCTAGCCAGGATAAGGGACAGCTGGGAAGGGTGGAGCACTTGCACACTTTCCCCAAGAAAACAGTGTATGAGAGAATTTAATCCATTGACCCTGTATACGAAGAGCACATACTTCGTGGAGTGCGCCCATCCTATCCTCTTTGTTGGCTGACTATAATGATAAGCACAATGAACGAGATGATGGAGAAGACCACAGCAGCGATGTTCAGTCGCTTGGCAGTTGTAGCATAGTCTTGGGCCCCAGGCACATCACCCACCATCTTCCTGTCCCTGGACTGGAAGAGACCAAATGATCAGTGTGGCCTTGGAGCAAGTCATCTGAGAGCCAGCTTCTCTGCCTCAGTTCCCCCATTGTCTTCCTATCCCCTGCAATCTCCTCCCTCAGGTCAAGGACCCCTTCCCTTTCACACACTCAGACTGTCCAGCATAGCCCAGCATCGTCTGCTCACCCCACCATGAGGTTATCTGTAAGCCCCACTTTCACACAGACTGGTGCCCCAGTCTGGATGGTGAAGAGGAGTCCAGAAAGTAAGCAATAAGGAGCATTCCTCTAAACTAGAGTGGAGACAGTCTTACCCAGAATCCTTAGGCAGCCTCACCCTTTGCCTACCTAGGAGTGTTTCCAAGACACATAAAACCCCCTACACTATATGCTATATACACAACCTACGCACACACATACAGGACACCAAACACAGAGTGTCACCCATGCACAAACACAAGGCTGTACACGTCAGAGGTACCCTCTGGGCAGGAAGAGCTTTAATCTCACACATATCTCTGTCCCATCACTCCCACCACAATGACACTCACCTTCACAGAGAAGACGTAGGCAATGAAACCCAGACAACAGCTGTTCATGAACACTGTGTTAAATGTGGACCAGGTAATATAATCCTTTGGGACATTGTCGCTGCTGATGTTAATCACGGTGGATCTGGAGCTGTCTTCTTTGACCATGTTTTGTGCTTAAAGGAAGCTCTTGTTTCAAGGTAGTTAGAAGTTCGTGTGGACAGTGAAGTCCTGAGCACTTTATATAACCGTGTGCATAGTGAGGTCCGGATGCTGCAGGATGGGCTAAGCAGGATATGACCCCCCCCCTTCTCAACAGCCTCTTAAAGTTCTGCTTTTTCAGAAATTTCTGCTCTTGGTGTTTGTAAACCAGTGAATTATCTGGCAGGTGGGATGTGGAAACAGATTACTAGGATAGGGAGGGTTCTAGAAGGGCAAGGGTCAGGAGAGCCTCTCGTACTGGAACCCAAGCCAGGACTTGACCCTCTACCTCCGTCTTAGAATGAGAATATTGGTGCTTTCTCCAAGCCTGTTCCCCAGCCCAGGCCAACAGCTACAGTAGCCATTTTCCTAGCTAGGACCCCATAGCCCTCTACCATGCCATCCCTAGAGCCCCCCAAAAGCTAGTCTTCACTGTAGGAGCCTTCTCTGCAGAAATCCATGCCTTTTACTGTCTGACAAGTGCTTTGGACCAGTACTGAAGAGAGCTGATGATCACTGTCATTCTTTTTTTGGGGGGGGGTTTAGAGACAGGGTTTCTCTGTGGCTTTGGAGGGTGTCCTGGAACTAACTCTTGTAGACCAGGGTGGCCTTAAATTCACAGAGATCCACCTGCCTCTGCCTCCCGAGTGCTGGGATTAAAGGCATGTACCACCACTGCCCGCCTCACTGCCATTCTTGTTGTCCCAGAGCCACTGGGCAATATGATGTCTTTCAGGCCTGCCCATAGGCTGAAAAGGAGCTGTGCTGGGAGACTAGGCTACTTTTTCCAGGCACATGGCATTCTTTGCAGTGCTAGACTAACATACTTGTGCAATCCTACCTTTCCTTCTCATCCTTCATCATTGTATAAAAAGCCTGGAGTTTTTGGGGGAGAGGTGGGTGGGTCTGGGCCATCCCCAGTGGGGCTGCAGGAGGTGCAATGTTAAGTTGGCCAAGGCCTTCCTGAAATTGCAGTCTTTTCTTCTTGCCTCAGCACATCCTCACGGAAAGATGGGGAAATCAGATCAGAGAGATAAATGAATGCTTGCAAGTGATGAATGTGCTGTTGTTTCCCCTAAATAGCAGAATCCTGCAATGGTCCCCACCCCTGAGCCTTGGCCCTGACCCTCGGCCCTCTGCCACACTGCAGGGGGCTAGGCTATCTGCTCCTCCTGCTGTGTTCCCAGAAGCCCCAAGACCATGAGTACCCAGCACGGCAAGGCCACCAGGGACCCCCTTGTCCTGTCCTATCAGCCTGGACTTCTGGGTTCCATGAAGCTACTTTCTTGGCTCTTCTCCAATATGGTTTCTGTGACCATGAGCCTTTTGAGTGTGGTGAATTGTACTCACCAGACACATGAAGTATAAAGCACATTCCGAATTTTGAAGAGTTGGTATTCTAGTTTCGGTTCTGGTGCTGTGGCAAACACCTTGACAAAAAACGTAAATGGGAGAGGGCGTTTTATTTGATTATAATTTCAAGTTACCACCATTGCTTCAGAAAAGTAAAGACAGGAACTCAAGAAGTTAGTGACATCACGTCTGTACTCAAGAGCAGAAACAGAAATGCATCCTTGCTTGCTTACCTGTCTGCTGGCTTTCTCCTCTCATGCTTTCCAGGCACTCCTGCCTGTCTCTGCCTGGTTTCCATTGCTAAAGCGCAGTCTCTGAAACTGTATAATAATGATATAGTAAAGAATTGAGGTTCCTTTAGGCTTATAATCCTGGAGACTAGAAGTCACCAAGTTGACTAGCTTTCCAATGATAATCCCTTTGCAAGGATGAATCCCTCACCATGAGAATTCCTCTTCAAGGCCCAGTTAAAGGGTTACTGAATACTGTTATACCATCTCATGAAAGTATTCCTAAGAATATGTTAAGTGCTAAAACTATCTTGGGTAAGCTGGTCTCTAGACCAGCCATAAATTCCTATGCAATGTGTCCCTGACTAAAGGCTATGAGAACTGCTTGGCCACTGAACTGCTATCTCTCTGCTTCTGTAACCAATGCTTGCTTGCTGCAGATGCCCACAGCTACTTTTCTGTGATGTGTTCTGGGACACTAAGGAAAATGGATGGAAAAAACAAAGGAGAATAAAAGTCCCTAACTAAGTGAGGGGAGTTATGTGAGGTTACGTGATCAGAAGCTCAGACCCATGAGCAGCTGCAACAGCATTGGCAGCTGCTCCCTAGCCCACAATTGTAGGATGTGCTCCGGCCGTGGAATCCCATGGTAATCTCTGTAACCATGGAACCCTGTGGACTGGGACTTACATACTCAGGACACTCCTCCCCTCCTTTTTTTTTCTTTAAAAGTGCCTTGCTTTTGGGGTTGGGGCTTCAACTCTCCCGACAGAGTTGAGCCCCAGATAGCTGGTTTTCTGGAAATAAACGGACCTTCTTGTACTTGCATTCGGTGTCGTTAGGCTTCTTGAAGTGTTGGGGTCCTCTGAGTGGGCACAGCATTCTGTATACATCACAATTGAAGGTTTGCCTTTAAAAACTCAAACATGTTGGAGGTCAAGGCTGCTTCCCACTATATGGCCTAGGACAGCACAGCCAGTACCCTACCAGCACCCCTCAGCACCATCCACTTGATGACCAACCTCAACATGAACACTGGTAAAAAACTAGCCACACCCAAGCCACTGTTGCATCTCCATGTCTCCAGTGGCCAAAGGGGGCTGAGAACACTGTGTAGGTCTCACAGCCACAAGGTATGCCTTGGGGACAAGAGTGAGTATGCCATCCCATACACACACCCAAGTCTTGCCCAGAAACATCCAGCCCTGGGGTCAGGACCTCCCCTCACCTTCCCAGTTACTGCTCCTCATCTGAACAGTTGTCTGTGCTTGTAGTCAGAGTCCTGCTTGAGGGCTGAAAGGGGACGGTTAGTGTAGCACGTACTGTGGAAGTGCTATGCCAGAAACAGACAGGCATATTTGTAGCTTTCCCACAATGACAGAATGCACTGACTGGCAATAAACTGACAAGCTACATCAGTTTAATTTGCAGTCATTCCCTCTCTATCTGTCTCTCTGCTTTCCCCGCCTCTCTCTCTCTCTCTCTCTCTCTCTCTCTCTCTCTCTCTCTCTCTCTCTCTCTCTCTCTCTCTCTCTCTCTCTCTCTTGTGTGTGTGTGTGTGTGTGTGTGTGTGTGTGTGTGTGTATCTTTGTAGCTCTCTCTCTCCCTCCCTTCTAGACATGGTTCTCACTGTATAATCCTAGCTAGCCTAGAATTATTTATGTAGACCAGACTGGCCTCAGACTCACAGAGAATCCACCTGCCTCTGCTTCCCAAGTTTGAAGATTGAAAGCACACACCACCATGCTTGGTTCTTGACAGCTGACTGTCGGCAAAACAACTTTTTTGTTTGTTTGCTTGCTTGTTTGGTTTTTTTTGAGACAGGGTTTCTCCCGTGTAGCCCTGGCTGTACTGGAACTCACTTTGTAGACAGGGCTTGCCTCAAACTCAGAGATTAACCTGCTTCTACCTCCTCAGTGCTGAAATTAAAGGTGTGCACCACCACCACTCAGCAGCAAACCAGCCTTTAAATTCCAATCTTCATTACTAATATTACCTCTTGGGTCATGCATTATACTTCACATACATTCTTAGTATCTATTGCTGTAGAGAAGGACCACAAGGGATGAAAGAGGCTGCAGCAGATTTTGGGGAGTTCTGGTGAGTATCCCTGAGAGACAGGAGCAGGAAGCTGTTGGGGTTGTGAAGAGTGTCTCTGCAGAGGGCCAGAGAGTCACATAGTGAACTCCCATTGGAAGTTGACTGGCAACACCACTACAGATACAAGCCCCATGGTCACAGGTTTGAGTTGAGTCTTGGGGTCAAGTCAAGCTACAGAAGCAAGGTGTAAAACCACCTCCAGATAAATGGCTAGGAGGATAAACAGAAGGCACTTCAAGTAGGTTCCAGCCATACAGAAGCAGGGGTAGCAAAGCTGAACCCCTGGGTTACTTAGGAGTTCTCTTGGTTCCTCAATGCTGAAGGTCAGATGACTGTTAGGACTGTTGCCATCTCAATGTTAGCTGTCTTCTTTTTTGTAGAGCCCAGAAGAGACTATTGCACTCTTTCCAGACCACACTTGGTTTGGTGTGTTTAATTACTCCTTGGCCCCAGCTTTCTTAATTCAATTACTACGTCCCTGTGCTCATATGTTCCCAGTCTGCATTGCTAAGTTTGTGGCATGGCACCTTTTAATTTTAGAAATAGGTAATTTGATGCTGGGCCTGGTGGCACATGCCTTTAATTCCAGCTCTTAGAAGGCAGAGGCGGGTAGACTTCTGTGAGTTTGAGGCCAGCCTACTCTACATAGCAAGTTCTAGGCCAGCCAGGGTGATGCAGTCAGACCCTATCTCAAAACAAAACAAAAACAAGCAACCAAAAAAGCATCTAGCCATCAAATCAAAGAAGGTCAAATATGACTTTTGCTCAGTGGTTGTCACTGAAACGAATAGCTGGTCAGCCTAATTAGTTTAATTAATATCTCTCTTTGTAGGTTTGTTTGTTTTGTATTTTGTTTGTTTGTTTTGTTGTGTTTTGCAAGACAGGGTTTCTCTGTGTAGATTTGAAACCTGTCCTGGAACTCATCCATAGACCAGGCTGGCCTCAAACTCACAGAGACCCACCTGCCTCTGCCTTCCAAGTACTAGGATCAAATCCCTGCACCACCCACACCAAGCTGTTTTTTGTGTTTTGTCTTTTTTAAGCAATGTTCCAGGGAACTGTCTGGAAAAATGCTAGAGGAAATCCACAACAAAGAAACTATAAAATTTTATTTTGGGACATTTATTTAAAAAAAAATCAGCCAGGCCTTGTGTCACACTCCTTTGATACTGGTTTTCAGGAGTTCAAGACCAGCCTGGTCTATATACTGAGTTCCAAGTCAGCCATGGCTACCCAGTGAGACACTGGTCTCAAAATAAATAAACAAATTTAAATAAATAAAATAGGGTAAGTTTGTGACTATACAGGGTCACAGATAATTGAGAAATACATCTTAGTTATGCATTTAAACAAAAATCATAGCTTAACTATTTCAAAAG